CTAGACGATTTTCCAACCTAGAGCGTCAACCTGAGAAGGGTTGTGGGCGTACTGGTGTAAGTCCTGCAATTCTTCAAAGGAATTCCACCAAGACATGATCCGCGAGGTTATTTGTGCAGTTTGTGTATACGTGTGGAGTGTCATATCAATTGGTGTTTTTTGGATTCATTGTGTTTACTCGTTGTTTTCGTACCTTGTTGTTATTACGTAATTTTGTTAAAATTTTCGTCGCGCTTACTTCTGAAGTCGTTTCTAGTCTTCTACATCCGTCAATGAATTGATTGATGTTAAAGACAGCAGATGGGTCGTATTCGCAGGGGAGGCTATCGCTGAGAATGAAATGCATACGGAAATAATTGTTATCTGTGGTCCCACAGGCCGGGGAGCGGGAGTGTAGACGACTGAGGCTTGCATACGTCACCGTTACTAGAATTGAGGCAGAATGAGTGACAAGCGATCGCAGTGATAATTGGTAGTGAGTAGATACGAGGATGTGCGTGGAATATCATGAGGTGCTGGTATGGTCACGTTGCATTCAGCAAGGATCATTCTAGCAAGTGGAGATTGTGTTGCCAGATGTCAAGAGGAGGTCTCTGTCTGGAGGCGCAGGTCGTCAGCGACGTGTGAGATTGTGCTGTGGTATAATTGTGGTGTGTTGGCTTTTCTGTTTGTTTTCCATTTCAGCTCTGTCCGTGTGACCCAGGTTCTCGCAATGGCATCCAAGTCAACGTGTATTGGTCGTGATGGAAAAAAGGGATGGATCCCTTATTGGGCCGGGGAGTGTCAATGTAGTTGAAGATTGAACGATCAATTCATGGTTGTTTGCTCAAAACCAACTTCCCCAATTTTCGCGGAGGCATCAATACGACAGTCATCGTCTCATCGGTCGCTGTTCAGAAGGAAGTCAGCAGTAAACCGTCAGAAGTAATATTGTGATTTATTATTGTAATATTTGTTCACAGACCTTAGTAGAAACATTTTTTATATGTTGGTGTTACGATAAAGAATTCTCGAGTGGCCAATCTGTGTTTTGATTTTTGCGTCCGTTATTACTAAGCGTTTCTGAGAAACTTCAAGGAACAGCGTGAACCCGAGCGTAGCAAGAGCTGGGCATTAACGGTTTACGAGACGTGGCTGACAGTCATGCTAAGTTGTTTTACTGCATCAAATAGTGCCGAGGTCGATTCCAGAGTTCTCTATTTGCGCCATTTTTACTGAATACTGCCCCAAAAGGCGAGTGAACCTAAAAGTCACCCCTCACAGTTATTAATAACCGACGATAATCTTCGTCAAAAATTCCGCGCGAACTTTGAAATGGGAGTTAATTGTACACGCTCTTGTTTAGTTATGGCTTTTGTTGTGTTAAATGCTCCAAAAGTCTACAGATTAATTTAAATCAGTTCATTCCGATAGAAATTAGATTACGTTTTAAATTTGAGTCTATTGAATACTGGGAAGTTGTGTTCTTATAACGTAATAGCTATATATATATTTATTTGTGCACTTATTGGCTTTTAATCACTAATTTATAAAGGTTATATACATGTAAATCCACGTTTAAATTTTTTTCCCAATTCGCTCTAAAAAGTATGCAGATTAAAAAAACCGCTGCGGTAAGGTTATGTGACAATATCCAGTAGATGAGGGAATGCAGTGCGATAACCGCAAGAGATGGTTTCATAGTATGTGCGCAGACCTAACTCCTGCAGCATACAAACGCTGCTGCAAACTTCTAGCAAACTGGTTGTACAATGACTGTTGTAGTACAACTGAATTCCTCATGGACTGCGGATGTCTTCCACGACAGAAGATCGACTATTACTCAGACAACGATGACGTGACTAGCATCATCTAAGAAACAGCACATGCCCCCGATGCGTCTCTGTCAATGAGTGAGTGCCCTTCAGCACAGAACAGCACCTAACATATTCCAGACACCCACGCCGCCCCCACGATACCGGATAAGCCCTCCAGTGACAGTGACAGAAAGACTGCCACGAAGAAGAAACGTACCAGGGGTCGAAAACTTGCAGCTCAAGTCGCCCAGGGACTGGAGGAACAAGCCTCATCCACACCGATGAATACCAGGCAGATAAATTCCACTAGGATTAGAGGGGAGGACGCCAATGAGTAGTGTTATGTAGTCTCGCGTAAAGTGAGATAAGGATAACACATCGCCTACACCGCTCACGAAAGAAAGAAAGACGCTTACGCCGCAGTGCAAGAAAGCCACGACAAGCAAACCTGATCTTTCTGGAAGGCTGATCCTTCTCCACAAAGTGGAAGAGTCACTGGTCTTCGATCCCATGGCCAGATTCGAGCATGACCTTAAATTTGTTAAGCCCCTTTTAGACAAACTACTGCCACAAACAGTATCAGGCATTACTATACACAGCGTATATATAGAATCAGCCAAAAGCCTGATCCTACAGTAAGTCAGCCTGTACGTCTCTTCAAAGTCGTACTAAACTCGAAAGAAGCGAGGGATGCTATTTTAAGCAATTCTCAAACTCTAAAAGGATCAGAGATATATGTTCGCGCCGACTTAATCCTAGCAGACCGTGTCAAAAGACAGTCTGCGGCCCTAGAATTAAGCGAACGACGCCGAAACGGCGAAAAGAACCTTAAGATTAAGGGTTTTCGGGCTGCCCAAGGGTGCATTTTAATGATCCTGATAATCTTCATCCAAGCCTTCTCAAAGAGCTATCAGCTCACATAGCCTGCCCTTTGACCACGAGCTTCAAGCTACCTCTCCAAAAGGGAATCTAACCGCATGACTGGAAAGACGTCATAGTAACCGCATCTTGAAAGGAGGATCAAGACGAAGCCATTCAAATTACAGGCCTATCATTCCCACCAGCAATTTAGTCAAGACACTGGAAATAATCATCAAGAATAGCATCATGACATATCTGGAAAACAGCAGCTAGTTATCTAGAGAACAGTGTGGCTTCCGAAGGAACCTCTCAGGCCTGTCGAATCTCCTCACCGCAAGAGAAAGCTGGGTCAATTCAAGGGACAACAGAAGACCTATCGACGTCGTTTTCGTGGACATCAGCAAAGCCTCTGATAAAGTACCTCACGAAAGACTACTCATGAAGTTGGAAAGTCTTCGTATCAAACGCAGATTACTAAACTGACTCAGGGTATTCCTCATAGATAGGAGGCAGAGGGTTAAGATCAACTCGAAACTCTTCTCTTGGACAGCAGTACGTAGAGGAGTGCCACAAGGCACGGTATTCGAAGCACTCCTATTTATTTTGTATATCAATGAGTTACCTCAGCTAACCGATTGTCACATGGTCCTACATGCAGAAGTCTTCAAATTCTGGAGGGAGCTGAAGGGTGACAGTGATACGCTCACGTTGCAAGGAGACCTCAACTAATTATTAGATCGGTCCAAAGAATGTATGTGCCCAATCAGCGTGACGAAATGTACAACCATGCGCATTGGACACGCAAGCACAAGCTCCTACTAACCAGAGGGACTTTGGCGTCATGGTGATTCACCAAATAAAAACTACAGCGCGCTGTCGCGCAGTGGCTGCGTGTAGTTTCAGATCCTTATGGACAATTCACAGAGCCTTTACAAGAATCTCCAGATTATGTACATATCTGGTGAGATCAAGAATAGAAAAACATTCAGGCAGCTAGTCCTTGTCTTAAAGGGGATTCATACATCCTGGAAAGGGTTCATTGGAAAGCAACACGTATAGTTCACGGCATATCTAACTTATCATACGAGGAAAGACTAGACAGTTTAAATATCTTCTCCCTGTCATACCGTAGAAAGAGAGGAGATTTAATCACAATTTTTAAAATTTTAAATAATGACTACGGACCTGGCCTATTCTCTCTTTCCCTTCCCACCAGGTCGGGACACCTTAGAGGACATCGCAGGAGAGTTCGAAAGCCAAGAAGAAATCATATTGCTGTTGAGTGCTGGTTCTCACACCGAGTCGTAAACTCCCGGAACCGACTCTCAGAAGAGGTGGTGTCTGCAACCGCAACTGATTCATTCAAGAAGAGTGTGAACAACCACAGAGATTTACTAGAAAAGAATTAACATAGGCTCCAAGCCTTCGGTCCTCAACCAATAAATCTGAATCTGAATTGATATTTGCTCTCATTTCCATTTTTAAAACAGCCTTATTTCCTAAAGAGGAATGATTATACCAGTGAATGTGACCACACCTAATTTTCGTTATCGATCAGCCCTTATTACACACAGTTCAAGAAAACCTGAACTTTTCTAAGTACACTAATATCCTACAAATGCAACTATGTTTGGAACATTCAGATCGAGGCGTTACTGGCAGCGAGACAGTCAGGTCACCAGCATATTCAACTAAGTTAATTTCTTCCCTAAAGGACAAGTCTCAAGAGAAAGAAAAAGGGTGGAAAGGAGAGCCTAGAGGAAAACTTTCCTCACAAAACGATCTATAAAAAGATTTGTCCTCATTTAGTGCTTAATACAATATGTCAGCGAAATAATAAAGCAATCAGTTAGCAGCCCAGGACATGGTTCTTGTCAAGGAAAGTTTACTGAATAGAACGCATCTGGATACTGGGTTAAAAGCGGATATCTTATCCGGAAAAGCATACTGAACACTGGTCTGAAACGAAAACAATATAATCATGACAATGATATGATCAAACAACCACAGTATATATAGTACGTCTGCCCTTTCTATATGCAAACCGTTAAGAGTCACTAAACCCCTCCAGGTAGGTTTTTAATGTCTTTGATATTTTGTAAACTAAGGTCTTAAGTTTGCTAGAATTGAAAAGTGAACCATTATACTCTCGATATCAAAAGTGTATGCAATAAAGATAAAATCAAAGTGAATGCTCATCAGAATGTTGAAAAATTCACTTTCCAATTGGTAGAGTGTTCATCGCAACCAAGAAACAAGCACAAATAAATCAAATTGGTTAACATTAGATTTTTAAAATCGATATTGGAAATCGGATCTCAAAGCGCGTTGCTTGGAAGGTGTGTTACTTATACCACTTTAACTATTCCATAACCTGTATACATATGCTGGTTGGTGTTTTATTCTCCCTCATTTCAGGGAGGAACTTGCAAGTTAACTGCTTGCAAAAGGAGGTACAGCAATTTCATGTGCAAAATGTTTACAAAGACTGTTGACGTAGAAAGGCTGTGATTTCGTTACACTTTGGGTATTAAGAAATGGTTGAAAGGGAAATCATCTTGTCTGGTTGATATTTCTGTAGGACTATAACAGCTGCCTTGACTTATTCTTGTGTTATATTTTTTAGTATATAAGTTTGTATCGCCCAGCTAGCATATTTTTCGGGCGCATTGCAGACTTTTTGGGGCAAAAAACTTCGGGTAAATCTACTTACGTGGGACACTGTCACGAAGTCTGCCCCAAAATGTCTGCAATGCGCCCTAACTTAATATGACAAATTGCGACCTGGGATAACGTGTCTACGGTTCCTCATTTAACTATTAGTCCACAATTAAATCAGAGTTAAATCTATTGCGTACACAGGTCGTCTCAAAAAAGAACAAACTGGTAGTAGCTCAACGACTCACATTATCAAAAAGCAGTTGATTTTAATTGAAAATATATTTAATAATCTTGGCAAAAGAATTTACAATCTTTAGATAACTTTCTAAAGTAGAACATCCTGTAAATCACCGGGAAAAGTCATCTGTATGCTTTCGGCGTCTGGTCGGTTTTCTTTGTTGACGTCGACGGTGATCTGAAAAATGAAATTTGGAAAAAATTAAGACCTACCATTGGGGAACGCCGTCGCCTTCTAATCCTCGACTTCAGTCTGTCCCGACTGTTATGGAACCAACGTTGAATTGAAGCCGTGATAGCCTTCACTGTGGTACGTCGGTCAGCATTACCTAGTTTATGTAAACTGCTAATAGTTCCTAGAGAGACAACAATGAAAAAAACTTCACCTACGTATCACAAGGTTACACGTCTTCGTGTCCTTGAACTTCTTTTTTCCTTGGTGCCAGCCCATGAAAAATGTGAGCTGTAGTTCGGCTCCAGCAAGACATTCACCAACATCTTATTCAGGACAGGTAACTGGACTAACAGGAACTGCTTAGTCATCTGCAAATAATGTACGACTATTAGATAGGAAAATAGGTACACTGGAAGAAGGGAAGTCTTGCAATACGTATATTGATAAGTGCGCATATTATAATGAAGGCAGATGAGTGCGAAAGTAAACTCACCATTTAATATTAATAATAATATATACAATAATAATACATATAATAATATATATAATAAGGTACATATTTTTCCTAGCTACGTAGGAAACACCAATTGTATTGTTTAAATTACATGATTTACGGCTGCTGTCATTTTTTCTTTAGTTTGGGGTAAAAATATGATAACTACTGATTCAATAGACCACATTAGGAGATTTAGGGATATTCACTTCGCATTAAAAAAAACCCCAAGTATTCGTTGGAGGGATTACGGATACTTGGGAAAATAAATAAAGCTTGAAGTCAATTCCCTAATATAACAATAAAAAGAATCTTATAATAATATACTGTCTTTTAATGCACATGACAGTTGACAGGCATTATCAATCTGAAAACAATGTACACATGGAGTATGCAGGTTTAAAAGTTTTCACTGAAACAAGATATATCTATATATACAATGGAGGAGAATTGAATAACGATAGTAAACACAGTTTGCATAAGTTAATACAATTTGTTTGTATCCTTGATATCGGTCAACTGTGGCTCACTGTAAACTGTAGTACTCTTTAAGTCACGACAATTTTGAGGTGTGCAATGTGGAAATTATAACGGAGTTATGCAAAAGGCTTAAGCCAATGCACTTCGCCCGAATTTCACTGAAAGCCCGTAAACTTGTGTCACCCTCAAAGTTATCTACCTGATATATCCCCACATAATGACCTTAAGTTCCCAACGAATTTCAATAATAAACCCTTCATGTCATCTAGGCAATAGGAAGAATAAGCCGGGTGACTTAAGATGTAACATGACAAGAATAAATCGAAGAAGTCCTCATAAAAGCAAGGTGGTAATACGTCTTTAAGGTATACCACTCCTAAATATAAAAGAAAAAGCCTACACTCCGTTGCTTTCCAATGGTCAACGTCGTCTAATGTTCGACACTTACGCTGGAATTCAAAAGGAGTCAACTTGTGTGAGCTGAGTAGTCTGCAGTTAACAGTGTTCAATATTGTAGTATGCATGCCATCTGCCCTAGATGTGGCCATCGATTTCCACAGGCTAATCAACTTTCGAACTACACCTAAGTATATGAGATGCATGCTATCTATAGGGTCCAGTAGATAGCACGATTAAGCATTAACACTTAACTAATTATCAGCGGTCACAAGCTACTGTTCCTCATTGTTTTGAATACTATACCGTACTTGATATGGTTTCTGGGAATAAACTTAACTTGAAGCTTCATTCATTCAAAAGCAACTGTGTGATTTATCAAATAAGTAAAGTACAACATTAGTGTAGTAGTATGCTATTACAAGTAGTAGTTTTTGCAAAGAATCAGTTTTTAGCCTTATTTCTTCAGGCCAGTTTTCTAATCTCATTTAAATGTATACTTTTTTGGAAAGCACCATCCTAATTTGCGATCTAAGGTGACTTTGGTCTAGTGGATATCGTTTTATCTCTCGTGATTCACTTAAGTTAAAGAAGTTTATAGTTGTAGACAGTGTGTTATTACTGTTTTATTTCGTGAAGTTGGGGCGCAGTTGATTACACTTAGTAATGTCAAAGTACTCATACGTTGTATAATTCCTATGATCCCGACATTTCTTTTGTAGTGTTTCCTATTCTTCTGACAGAAGTTTAGGCTATCATTCCATTATAGATAAGATTTTATTTTGATAAATCGCACAGTGTTTACAGTTATATGAACTGATGACGTTTCGAGCACAAACTATTGCTCATAATCATATCAATATCATATCATATACTTGATATGATTATGAGCAATAGTTTGTGCTCGAAACGTCATCAGTTCATATAACTGTAAACACTGTGCGATTTATCAAAATAAAATCTTATCTATAATGGAATTATACTCTACCACAGTGCCCAAGTTTTATATTTAGGTTATCATGTTTGTGTATGTGACTTTGATTTCCAGTAGAAGAGGAATTCAGTAGGCAGTCACTCACTTTCTAAGTCTTCTTCATAAAGACTGTGAGTCTTGGTTAACCAGCTGACTGGTGCAGAAAATGCGACTCATAAAATGACACTGAAATCGGTGCACCTCCTCAAATTGTTGAGTTCATCTAGACGTAAACTAACCCAATCAATGTTAAATCTGGCAGTTGATGCAGACTGCACAGTCATATGTTTACTTGTACGAAACCACACAACGTTTTCGAAAATTTATTGCCTCTATAGAAGCATTCTGCGTGAATTTCAATAGGAAAATCCACACATTTTCGAAACATCTATATGGTGTTATAACGTATTCAGGTGTTTCCAATTTTTTCTAGGTGTTTCGTGAGGCATAATTTCATAATGCATGTTTCTGTCGAAGCTCAGTTACCGTGAACAGGATTTTCACTTTCCAGGAAGAGGCACAATTATGCTGTGAAGGCGGATAACTACCCATTTACCCACGTTGAAACAGGACTCGAACCAGTGACCCATCTGCTGTAAACCGAGTGCTTAAGCCAGTGAGCCTCATTACTGGAGATCAGTATCTAGTCTGTCTCATCACTATATATTTTCGATAATGCCTTCCATTTTCGTCATTATTTTTATGTACAAAATGGCATATAAGTACACCTGTTCCAATCAATATCGGAGTACTTACTCAATTAGTTGGTAGTAGGGAAATAATCTAATGGTCGTGTCACTTCAGCGATAGAATAATCTGCGTTATCACCATGGTCATAAAATTTCGTGCCACCTATCAATAAGCCAGTATATAAGATCTAAAATTTGCAGTTTTTTTACAGTGACAGAAACAGACATGCAATATCGACTTTTGCCCTAAATGACCACGTGTGTTGGACAGAATATGATACAAAGCTAAGGGAAAAAAACAAGAGAGCAAAAGTTCATTCAGTTTCATAAGACTGATATAAGAAGCAAACAAAGGAGTAATCAATACATGAATACAATTATCGTATCCGCTTCTTCACTTTTGATTCTGAACCATGGAACTCTAAGTCTCGTACTGCCTGTCTCGAAAATTTGCCTCACCGCAGCAGATTGATGTATTTTAATATCTTCATGTAAAAATAATTCTTTACAAATAATACTAGTTTTTATCATTTTAGTGGGGAAAATACATTATGCTAGACAACTGGTTCAGTACTACCATATGAACAGAAACAGTTATTGGTCGACTTCCTCCTGAATGGGTCAGTCTTTGTCTGCCCCTGTTCTTTCTAAAGAAACAAGTAGTTGGCAGAATGAAAACTACAGTGTTGCAGTATCCAGTATGCAAGGATGGCGTGTACATATGGAAGATTCCCATATGTGTTTACTGGAGCTTCCCAATGATCCAAAGGCTGCCTATTTTTCAGTTTTTGATGGGCATGGTGGAACCAGAGTGGCTAATCATGCAAGCATTCATCTGCATGAGAAGATAGTAGAGCAAAGTGAATATGGTACGTTGTTATTTCTGTTTCTATTCATCAAAAGTTATCATGCCAACAAAGTAAAAATCCGTCGTTTCTGCTCAGCTTTCGGATTGTACTTTTAATTTCTACAGATAATGAATATATTCTTAAACCGGCAACCGCGTATGTTCATAGAACGAATGCTTGAGAGGAAAAATATCATTACGCATAGTACACAGGTTTCAATAACCATCTATAGTTGTACACTTAAGAATGAGTCACACGTAAAGTGTGGTTGAGCGATGCAGTAGTCGAACCCCAGGCACGGTGTTGGGAAGTTAGTTTCTTAGCTGGTGCAAAACTACCTACCGTATTCTAAAAATGAATATTCCTTTTAAGTATAGAAGAGGATTAGGACCACGGTTTGGTGCTTTTTAGTAGCGCAAACTTGAACTAATCTAGATATACAGTGGACGATATAAGCTAAGCAAACAGCGAGTTTATAAGTGGGTGGTAGTAAACACGTGCAGACTTATTTCACGTAGCCAATTTTCAGTCAGTTAATCGATAGGAAGTATGAGTCAAGGCTATTTTAGGGGGACCTATAAGGCAAGAAAAGGAATTGCTGTCTTTCAGTGTGTGCATTGTATTTTCTTCTCTTCAGCTCCGTTCATTCAGAAATTTCCAGCAGTGTTAAGTAACTAGGAGTAAACATATGTATGGTAAATATGCTAAAATACAGCAAATTTTCCTGTGGTATCGGGTTTATTGGAAAAATTCAGCTATGCAAAACTTAGGGTAAGGGTTTGATTGACTTGTCACTGTGCTTATCTTTTTGAGGTGACCTTGTCTTGAAGGCAGGAAGCAGCTTAAATTGTTTAATAACATTCTGAGACATGGAACCGTTAATTTTAAAACTGAATGAATGTTTAAATAGTCTTCAGAAGCTGTACAGTCGTATTTATGTTTACCAAAAGTGTACAGCAGTCTACTATATATATATATATATATATATATATATATATATATATATATATATATATATATATATAGTGTTGGAATTTAATCAGCGTTCTCACTGTTGTTGTAATATTCTGAGGTGAACAGAGAGACCAGCTTGAAAGGTTATAAGAAAGTGAGTAGTTTAGGTTGATTAAGAGGAGCAGTATAACAAAAGACTACATAGATAAGCATAATGGGAAGCCTAATACCTTGCAGTACTTTAATTATATTCATGAAGTAGCAATCTTGTAAACCTTTGATTAAAATAAGTCTATAATTATTGGTGCTATTACTAAGTAGCTTTATGTACATCTTCTGGTACAGCGCGAAACGATATAAAAGAGGCTATTCGCAACGCCTTTTTATGTTTGGATGCAGAAATGCAGTCTGAGATGACTTCGTATTCCGTGAAATCGATAACCGCAAAATCGGAAACAGCTAGTGGAACAGCATCCAATTCAAATACGGCAATCAAAAATAATACCGCAGAAACCCAGAACGAAGCTTCAACAAGCTTCTCTTTGAAAATTCCGAATCCAGGTGACGAACTGGCTGGATCTACTGGTATAATCGTACTGCTAAAAGATCAAACGCTATATTGCGGCAATGCTGGAGATAGTCGTGCTGTATGCAGTAGACGTGGAGTAGCAGAGCCATTATCAACAGATCATAAACCCACTTTGCGAGCTGAGAAAGAACGCATTTCTGCTGCTGGTGGTTGGGTCGATGCAAAACGTGTAAATGGTAATCTCGCACTTTCTCGAGCTTTTGGAGATTTCGTCTTTAAACGCAACCCACGTCAGTCCGCTGAAAATCAGATCGTAACAGCCAATCCGGACGTTTATGTCCGAAGAATTTCAGCCGAAGACGATGAATTCATAGTACTATGTTGTGATGGTATTTGGGATGTAATGACTAATCAGGAGGTTATAAGCTTTATCAGATTACGACTCAGTTATGGAATGACTCCTTCTAAGGTAAGTGTTTGAAAAGTGTAGTCATTCATCTTCCAAAGTATATAATATGTTTGGCTAATTTTTGCGTAAATGTTTGTTTCATCCTTAAAGCAATTGTTGAGATAAATGTTGTGGATATTTGATGCTTAATATCATATAACTGTGGCCTTATAGGACCGACTAAGTGTCGTGGTAGTTTTATAAGTACTTATGCCATGACTACTAATAACTTCAGCTCTAAGACTGTTTTTCCGTGTGAATTTTCCACAAGACTTACTTTCCCATTCCTGTTAGCTCCTTAAAGACTAAGTATACACGTTCCTATTCATGACTAACTGTACTTTGGAAAAACTTACTTGTCAGTATGACAGGCAGACAAAGAGAAGTAGCAAACGATGTATGGAAGAAAACTTATGTGATCGTAGACTGTGTACAATTACTAAAAGGGAAGCGAATAAATACATCGCTGACGTTAAATCAAACTAGAAGGACTAAAGCGAACACTTGAAAAAAACTGTAGTGGGGGCGTATTGACTTCCTGAGAATGATCTAGAAAAGTTCGTGTTTACACAGACGAAGCCAAAACAATTGTAGCAGGTAGAGGCACGTGACACAAACTAGACACTATACATAAAGTTCTAATTCATTTGTTATAAAAAATCTGTATATATTATGATATCGCAAATCCTTGTTATGCAATACAGCTTAACGTCAGGTGCTTGATTATTATGGTCTTTAGGCAGACAAAGCTGGTTCACACATCACTGGTTTAATATCAAGGTTTTTAACGCCTGACGCTTTATATGAAGCAAGCTGATAGTTTCGTACGAATATTCATAACTATTCATATCATTTACGATAATTACCACTTTGATAGGAACTAAAAAATAATCATATAAGAGGATTTCGAATGGAAAAGCAAATCCTACTCACTTTTCATATTGTCAGCGTATTATAAAAACATTGTCTTTTTATTAGAAGCGTTATTATTTACAGATAGACGTTTACTTTTCTTTCACAAAATAGACAGCTAGTTAGTAAAGTGTTCTGTACTCATGTTGAGATGAAGCATCGTTGCATAAATCATATTTCTTCCTATAAGTGGTTTGTAAGAAGTAGAGTGATTTCTTAGTAGTTTCTCAAAGCCGATATTTCCAGTTAGCTGTTTTCGGTGTTTTCAAATATTTAAGTCTTTGAATTCGCATTATAAAGTCGACAGTGCATACCAATTCTTAGAGAAATGAGTGAACCAAAAATTTAAAAAATGCCTTCTTTGTTTGTTTCCTGATTTTCTTGTCGAATAACGTCCCCGTGAGACTCATGTTGTACAAACAAAGTATCCCGCATATTCTTAGCTTATAATATTTGGTCACCTTCATACGTGTTCTTAACGCAGCTGCCATTCCCACGAATTCTGAATACTGCTTAAGTAGCACATTGGAAACTAAGCTAATGAATTTGCATCAGCCTTGAAATATAAAGGTGTATGATGGTCTATGTAAAAGAAGCGTACTGAAATTCTAACTCCAAACATTGGTGCTTTTTAGCAGCGGAAATACGCTTCCGGCATGTTAAGTTGACAAAAACGCATCTACTGAGATTCAGAAAACAAAAAAGCGTATTTTAATTGGAAAAGTTATGAGACTTCACAATTGTACATCAAGACCATTTCTCTTTCTTTTTGTAGGTATGTGAAGAATTAATGATGAGGTGTTTAGCGCCTGACTGTCATACAAATGGTTTGGGTTGTGACAATATGACGGTTGTTTTGGTCTGTCTTCTTCATGGTCGTCCACTTTCTGATTTACAACGTAGATGCTCGAGACCATGTCCAGCCGGTCCTGCAGCTGATATTCTAGGTGGCTAAATAAATTTGCGTTTGTTGCTGTGCAGTTCGTTATTATGGTTTTGACATTGACTATGTGTCATGTCCACTAATTACAATTTGGTTTGCAGTGTGTTTTAACGGTTTTCAGTCAAATGATCTTGCATTTACTACACCTCAAACTAGTTTATACTGATATTTGATTGCTCTAAATTCAAATAATAAATCCTTTTAGGAAGATTAAGCTTCTTATTAAATTAATACTTTCTAATTATTTCAAACATTTCATGTACATTAATGTTGCTAAAGTTGAAGGCAAATTCATCTTCGTAAATCACTCATTAGTCATTTTGTAATATTGCAAGGTAATATGGGAATCGAAACAGTGTTGATGGATAACCACTGATCTAACAACCACTTTGTAGGCATTCGCGCCGAGGTCAGTATTAACAGTTTGACTGTTCTTAAAACTTCCACTGCCTAGCAAAGTAGATTTATTTAACATCAGTTTAAATTGCTCACCCTTCTAAGTTAATCTAAGTTTGTCAGTCACCGAAAAGATAACATTCTTCATTGACAAACAACAAATCCAACTTCCTATTTGCCTAAGTTTAAGCGAAACACTGTCTCCACCCACTCCAATTTAATCGGTGAATATGCTTCACGAATTAGTTTGCATGGTCTAATTCCATACATATGAATACCACGGGACCTACCACATACTATAGCGTACCTTACTTTTCTGTGTTGTCATTTATGTGCATTTTCAAAACTCGGATATCTCTGAATTTTCCTTGTTGCCCTTCCTGACTATATCTCTTAGTATAACAAGTTATAAAGTGCCAAACTAAAAAAACTGTTTAAAAAAATAAATACTAAATTTAAGATGCTACCTTTTGTGCTTCGTCTACATGGATTCAACAACTAACGATATTAAGTCTGGAATAAATACATTAACACAGAGAAAGGCAGTTTTAGTTGATTTAATGCTTTAAGTTAGTATTATTGTTCTTAAAGAACACTATATATATTTTATAGGAATGGCATCCAATGCACCTGGATTTCGTCCAGATAGTTTTTGGCAAATGCATTTAGTAGATATGTTTAATGAGTGCTACATGTCACTACAAAGTACGTATTCTCCTGTAATATATTGATTAAAGAGTAGTTTTGTAGAGATACATTAAAGCAATTAACTAATAGCAGGAATCCCAAGAGCGAAATATTTTAAGCATTCGAAAAATTGTGTGAAGTACTCAAAGATAATCGACGCACTGCATCAAAATTTATAATTAGCTATCTACATTAACATAAATTGTCTAAATGAAAGCCATTCAATGATATAGCGAGTCATATATATATATATATATATATATATATATATATATATATATATATATATATATATATATATATATATATGCGCTGTATCGAAATTATCAACGTATCACCAAAGAAACAATTTATACACTAAAGCTTTCTCCACAACCACAAGTCCCCTTAATGTTAGGGTTGTTGAAAACAAACTGACTGGATAATATATCTTGCTGATAGTCCATTTCAGTACCCAATAGCGTCAGCTGCGCCCGACGGTCAATAAAAATACGAACTCCAGCCTGCTCGACAACTTCATCTCCAGGTTGGAGTCCGTCGAAGCAAAAGTCCAAAGTATAAGACAGACCATTACAACCACGAGTTCTAACTCCAATACGTAGTCCTATAGCTTCCGGATTTCTTTGTAAAAGTTCTTGGACGCGATCTATAGCTGACTTCGTAAGAGTAATAGGTGCATGTTTACCAACAAGAGATGATGGCTTCGACCTCGCGGTTGTTTTAACTGAACTTGATATAGATCCAGGTTTGCTTGCAAAGTAGGACGCGTTTATTTTCCATATTAAATTATCACCAACTGAGCTCTGAAAGACTTTTGGCTTGGTTGAAACCAACTTGAAGACTTTGGCCCAATTCATCGAGGATTTTTAAAATACATTATGAAGGCATCTGAAATATAAAAAAGCTTACAAAATTGAAATCAAGTATTTTAAGGACAATATTTGGATTACACACTGCTTGTCAGGTAACTCCAAGCTTCAGCTACAGCATATGATTGTGGGACCCGTAATTCTAATTTCTTTAAACCAGAGTAGCTGGTATATCATACCCCATATGTCACTTTAAAACCCTTATTAGTTATTTTCAAAACCAGATGCTTGCTTCCCATAGTTCCACTACACCTGGATCTCTTTATTATTGCTCTCATACTGACTTGATAGTAGGTGACCGTAGAAAAACTGGAAGCTGTCCCAAACCATATTAACGGCAAATAATTCTCCAAAATTAATATCCAACCTTTCATCACCCAGTACTAGATGTCACCCTTCACTGCTTAAGTCGACTGGTTGAGCTGTAGCATGACGTCAGGTATCCAGACCATTTGATGCACTGTCGCTTTATGTTCGGTTGTTCGTGCATTCAGGAGGCATTGCCGCTATATTTTCCTAATCCTGAAACGCATTTCGTAATTTGCAAGATCGAATTGTTGTTCCGGTTCGACAAGTAGTTCTTTGGTCATAGAGATCAAGTGTATTGGGGGGGGGGGCTATATACTTTCAGTAACACGTAAATGTTCCTTCCCTGCTAGTCGACGCCTCCTAAATCATCTTGCCAATAAACCAATGAGACCTCAGCCGTATTCTTCGTAAACCCTGGATTTCTGCCGACAGTTCCTGAAGGAAACCTGAGCTCTACCGCTAATCCCTAAAGCTTTTGGAATTCCTTAAAAAAACTGCAGTGCTATTGGTCGGGAAGATTAGAATGAAAAACAGATCTGAGGATTGAAAGGCCTTCACAATAGAAATGGACATTAACGATAGGACAATGGGCTCTCATATAATGTATCAACATAGGATACAAGTTGGAATATTTCGGTATTTCAATTCAAAAAAATTTATAGCAATGATCACAAGGTTTTGCACATTTTTCTTTACAAAAAGAATACACTTCTATCAAATGTAGGAATTCGATAATGGTCACAGTAATCTGAGTGAGAAGCGACAATACATATAAGTAACCGGATACCGTTTAAACTAAGCCTCATAACTATCTATATTACAGTTCTAAAGCACGACACATCACCTTTACCCTAGTGCAGTTGGGTTGCTGCCTTAGGTTTATCGTTGAAATGTAGGAAGGTCACCCACTAACATTCGCAAAGCAGAAAATAACAGATCTCACCATAAACACATACCACCTCCAACCTCATACCTGACGCTGTTTCTAAGGTAGAACGCACCGCAACGAACTCCACGTTGTTTCATTCTACATGAATGTTTTGCGATTCCTGAGTTTGTTCGTTCCAAATGAAAATAAGAAAATGCACTTCATCTGCACTCATTTTACATGAACAATCTAGGGTTTAAATTCATTACTACTAAAATAAAACCTTCAGGAATAAGATGGCGTATTTATGCGTATACTATGGATAAGTTAGTGTTGCTGGGATAGAGATATCTGAAGAAAATGCAGTAGATGACAGAATTTTAGACCACGGTTCCCAGGACTTCAGAGTTTTCCCATAATAACCCTCAACTATTTTGCTTTAGAACGTGTCAACGTGATACGGACGCAGTTATGACTCAGAAGTTGTCGGGCTTGGCGTTGACAATTCATTCATGAAAAAATGTTCAAAGCACTGCAAAAATAATAAAGAGGATGCTTCTCTATGAAATTTTCGAAGAACAGCCTCCCATATCACATTGGTGTTAATGCTATTCCGAAATATTATTGTTCAGCGTCAAGAGACAGAATTAGTGGTTTGCTCTCAAATTTATGCTTAAAGATAAGGAGATAGGACTAGTTTTACCGTTTCCCACTTTGGATTTATCCATTAATACTACACGGTACTCCTTAGTTAAGCTAAATTAGATTTATCCGATATAACTGTATTATTGCCGACGAAAACTAATTGGATTAGACGATACCGCAATTGGCTTTTGTGCTTGAATTACTACGCCTCAACTTGCCCATTGAATGGATCCATGTATACATGGCATATTCTAATAAACTACGTCAGTTGTCACCTCGATCCCACTAGAGGCCGAGTTAAGGTACATGTATCATGGAACAAGGACAAAACAATGATTCCCTAAAACACGAGCACAGTATGTCAGATAAATAAGATAGATAGCATATATTTTGCGAAAATGATGAGAATGTTTTAATGTAGGTGAAGCAGCGAAAAGTTCAGGTTGCCTTAGAAACCCACCCAAGCTTACAAGAATTCAGAACTTATTCTATCCTATTCTTCGATAATGCTTTTTTATGCTAAGTGAAGATTTTATCTATCCACTATGTTCTGGAATAACGCTTGTCGTGCTTAAAATGTCCTGTGAGGGTTGGAACAACGGCTCTAACCTACTCCTGAACCACCTAGAAAAAAACACGGTGCTGAAATAGTGCAAGTCATGCTGAGAACCAGCACTGAGTTCCAGCATGTGCCATTAAAGAGTCCATTTCAGAACAAATTGGGGCAACAGTAAAGAGTAGACACCAAAGTTAAATGACCTTGAAATATAACCTTACAGGTGAAAAAGTGGTGTTTAATTTTAAAAAAGTGTACTTATAAGACATATATACAATGAAACTGGATTATATAGGGTATGCAACTCTAAGATGCTGTAAAAGCTGGTCCCAGTTCCTCATAGGAGTGTCTGTAGACATATCAATTCAATGTTGATACAAAAATTTATCCAAGTGGCTGTATATGATATCATATCGGGAGCCATTAACCATAAAAAACGCTTTTTTAGATTGACTCAGAATCTTTTAGTAGAATATGTAAGAGTTCCACTTACATGATTTACTAATTCAGAAATATAGTTGACTTTATGATGAGCATAGTCTAGTGATGATAATTGCGAACATTTCCACTCGAGTGTACGAAAGGCAGTTTTTAGTCGTTGTACTATTGGTATTAAAACATCTGGGTGAAACCTGCAGCGAATATTATGAACATCGATGTGTGATACCGAGTCATCTTATTAATAAACCAGCCGGTTTGAATCAATTGATTCAAAAATACTTGACTCTGGTGTCTATTCTGTACTCTCGCCCAGATTCGGAATTCACTCACTACAGAATGTAGGAATTATTGCATGATTAGTTAGATTTAATTCAGCCTTATAGTAAGCTTGGGCACGTTTAACTTTATAGCTTAATTCGTTTGAATTGGTCATTTCAAGATCACTGAGGCATTTATTATCAGGATTCCCATTTGCTTCAGACTGAAAAGATGGTGAGATAAAGTACTATAAACTAATGAACAAACCAAACCTGTATGAACACAATTGCTCACATAATTTCAATAAGTGTAACGCCGTATTTGTTTAGCCCGCTAGTTGTCAAGGTCTAATATTAGACAATGAAGAGTAGACTTTTGGGTATTATGGTGTAAACTGCTTTTAAATAACCACTGGGCAATTTATTTTTGAAAAAATTATAAATTCAGGAAACGTGTCGTTGTACGTACGAGCAAAGTAATGTTTTTCATTATACAGTAAAATCAGTCCATTTGCAAATAGAGACAGGAATATATCTTGCTGAGTGCAATTTACTGTGAACTTTTTCACGTCTAGAAACTGGCTCAGAAGTAGCAATACAAAAGTTGTGTGTAGTCCGGGCCTTCAAGTTTCGATTACTGTGTTGATCTATTCCATTTTCAATAATCTTTCCCTCATATGAATAAACCAGAATATGAGACAAATATTGAACATCTGGCTAATGAATTGTCATTACGTTAAGAAAAATCTGTGCAGCATGTCCGGTCACAATCATACGCTGCTTTATATGCTGCTGCCACACACCAATTTTATTACTGCCAACTGATGTTTAATAGGGAATGGTATATTATACACAGAAACTCTGTGGAAGTGCACATCTGGGCGTCCAGTGGTAAATTCGATTAAACTTTGATTAAGCTTTCTTTTATTCCGTTACTGTCCACTTGTCCTTTTCTTATAGCAGCAAGAATAGTTAAAATAAGTGCCTGCTGAATTTTAAAGAAAAACTCCGTATTCCTACGCACACGGAGTTCAGCTGCATACCGCGAATATGGACAACATGCATGAATTTAGGCATCAAATATCTTTAGTGTTGATCTACTGACTCCTTCCGAAGAAACTCAACAAAATATCATGACTTGTGGAAAACCGTTTGTGATATCTATCGGGTGTGTAGGCACCTAGGGGCATATGTTTCTGTATTGTTTATACTGTCATACAAAATCATCCATGATCATATTTTAGGGGTTGAAATATTATAACAGACTCAAAAACAGATTTGAACCTTCTAGAGGGGATACACAGGTATGTCAAAACCTCTCCTACTGCGGAAATGCAGACAGTATGACTAATGATCATGAAAGTTGGATGTATAAACTCTAAGTGATCACAGAACGAGCGGTGAACCCATCACAGTGTATAAAGCAGCACACCTCCAAATGCACCATATGCAATTTGTGGTAACATAATGCCCCCATTACATCGATCAGAAAAAGCATAGTAGAATTTCTCTTAAGAGAGCAGTGATAAAATAAGGTGAAACGCTTTCTTCCTTATATTTTCTTGCCTAGAGATTTCACTCTCCATACAGATGGAAGGCTCCAAAGCAGTCGGTACGTAGACTGAACTTTTAAGCTAAACCAGTAAGCTTTTACGTATCTGTTGATAAAAGGAGGTACTACCACTAAAATAACCGCAGTCATTTTCATATGCCCTATCAATTTATTTTCGGTTTTTATCCACCTGTCGCGTCAAGACTCGCCCTGTATTTCTCTCCTTATTTCGTATGCATTTGCTCCCACTATCTTACTTGTCTTGAAATGAGTTTGTTCGCCTTATACTCCTATAATTTCAGTGACTATTTTTCAAGAAAGACTTTCAATTCACTTAGTGCTACTTTCAAATGAATGCTAGTACATCTGACCAGAGGATCTCACAAAGTCCCAATCTTAGGCTTCCGGTATCACCACTGGACCCAAATCGCCATACACTCTATTCAAATCTAACACGCTTCCCTCCAATATATAATCCAGAAGTCAGGCGATACTGAGAACCACAGAAGACTGAAAAAAAACCCGAGACAACAAGCAGTGCAATCGAAGAAACTATCAAAGTTGTTCAATTTACTTATTGAAGCCAGTGAAAGAGTTTGTAGATACTGTGCAATATGACGAACTCATAGTTTGCGTTTTGGCTGATGCCATGGCAAATTTCAGCCTTCAGAACTAAAATACCACGTACTATGCAAACCTCATTGAAATAAAGCCTGGGATCACTTTTAGAAATACTGCCTTAGGTTGGGTGTCTTAAACACATAACCCCATGTGATAGCGATGAGAAATCCTTTATTTAAAACGAGAGTGATGATCAGTGCGACTTGAGGATATTAGGAGATTTCATCGCCTCGTATAACAACAACAAGTCATAATCAAATATGATTTTTTATAAGAGGCGTAATAATCATGTAAATTCCTTAAATTTGTGTAATTTTTTTGATAAGGAAAAAAGGTTTTATGGGTATTCAGAAACAACCCAAGTGCCTTGGCGTCTGCACCTGGCTTTACTGACGTTATCAGCTACATTTAATCTGATATCATTTGCGTTTTTGTACAGTCTTTACTATCTTTCAAGACAGCCTAAAATTTCTGAAGAGAGGATACGAGGTAGCAGGAAGTTTAGCTCGTTTGTTGTACAACTCCAAATGACACCAACGCATAATATAGATACGAAATAATAGCTTAATACCACGGAAATAACTAACTTTTGCTCACTTGGAGTTATGAGGATGTGCGGCTTGTACTATATTTTTTTCGATGGCTACCGAGGAGTGATAAAGCCTAGAATAGAGGCATTTTAAAATAAATAAATTTCGCACTTAATTCTGTCTTGAAATTTATTATGTAATTCATGATATATAGCACTTCTTAAGTTATCATTAACTGGCTTCTCACTCTGTGAATGAAGCCTTTGAATCTCTCTGGAAGCCTAACTTCCTTTCCTTATAGCTTCCTTCGCTGTTGTACACCTGCTTTCTGACACAGTTTACATAAATTAAATAAAGACACTGATAGTTGAATATCTGTGCCCGCCACACATAGCCCTTATATTCAATCTCTTTGGGATATCAACTGCTACATCTGTTTACGTAATAAGCAATTAAATTTTGGTGATGAAATAATTGTAAAGAGATGTGAAAGTGGAACACCTCTATGTTTTCCGAAACAGTGCTGGTATCTAGTCGACATATGCCGAATTCTACATAAACGAAGACAAAGAATCACTGGAATTCATCACATCAAAGCCACTTTCAATGTCTTCGAGAGACAAAACAAGAGTTGCGGCAGTTAGGAGCGTATTGATATTCGCGCGGAATTCAACATATTGAATGAATTAACAAAGACCAATTTCATTTTCAATTAAAAAACATTTTAAGCCAGCTGATTAACACTTTTTGTAAGGGAAATGTCGCATAACTTTAAGGCTTCAAAATAGCACGCGTAGTACTATGCAATCAAGCATACTTTATAACCTTATCAACTGAAAGTAAAAAAACGTTAATTCCAAAAAAGTCGAACATTAGCCAGATTATACTGAACCCATACTAAAAATTTTCTATGCTTTATCTCGAGAGAACTGGCTGACGCTTATTCACTAATTAGCAGTGAGAAAACATACGCAAAAATGTAGTTTCTAAATTGGTTATATTTAGCCCACTTGCTCTCCTCCTTAATAGCTGATAATAATTATCCTCAGCTCAAATTAACTGAGTAGATATACCTTTTGATCTTAGCTGCAAGTTACATAAAGCGTTGATTAAGTTTGCAGTCGCACATAAATACGGGTACTACTTAACACACATCGATCAACAACGACTGTTTGTGACCTTATCAAGCCATCCAAGAATAAAAGGTATTGATAATAAACAGTTTAGCCGTTTATACATGTATTGTAGACTGTGCGTCTTGTTTTACGGAGCAACGGAGATATAAATAACACAAGTACAAAACAATGTACATAATATAAACCTATTTATTGTACCAACAATATGACCTATTCACATTTTTCTAATAACCAATGACTGAGCTTGACGGATTATCACTTGATACGTCGGTGCTTGTCTTATTATTCTGTATTGAGGAATTTCTTCTTTAGTTATTAGGTAATTTAAAAAAGACCATAGTTGCACAAAGACAGACTAATGATTAAGTATGCTTTAAATGACAAACTTTTGAACAAATTACTATTATTAGAAATGCATACGTAGAGGCGATGGTGATCAGTTAAACAAGCAAATAAGTGCAACAACTAGAAGAATATTCAAAGTTCATTTTTATTGCATTTACATATCATAATGATAGTTGGAATTGAATCTCAATTTCAAAGCATTTTCAACAATTAAGCATAATGGTTCAGTAAATTTTATAGCCATATACAAACATTGAGAACAAATAATCTTTATTATATAGGGAAAGTAAGTAATATAGGTCAACTTTACAGGTGTATAAACAAAGTGTATTAGAGAATACTACGTTCTATGCCTTAGACAATACTGGACATAATCATCCACTAGCTTTGCGATGCGTTCATCAGTAACCTTGCGGGGTGGTTTTTGAACAATCTGGTAAAGAAGTAACAAACAACAGCACATATATAAATAACATCATGTAATTTAAACAAATACAGATGGTAGCATTAATTTGCATGCATAAATACATATAATCTTCTAATTTCTTCTAGTTCACGGCTTAACACGAGTTTCCCTAAACATATCACGGTATAAAGGGGTTTGTATAGATAAGAATTAATACTTCAACAGCACACAATGAGTAAAGGGTTTATCCGTATGACGACGCAATCAACAGAACACATGTTTTGGTATCAGCATAATCAAGCGTACAGTGACTTTATAATTTTGCAAGAATCCCTAGGTTTAGAAGTCAGCAGATATCACTACCACTAAAGCACAACAGTAAGCTTTATCCGTTTAGTCAAAATATTCACATGGCAAGAAGGAGGCTCTTCGTATAGGTACTCCAATAAAACGCTATACTTAACAGACTAAAGTACGCTAAACTAATCTAATGTGATATGGTTTACTAGTTAGGAAAATCGTTTGGAGACAAGATTCAAAGCACTTTTTATCTAACAATCAGGAATTTTAACTTGTTGAACTGCCTTAAACATGGATTGCAAACCAATGGTACAAATGTGTTAGTTAATTCCTAGTCTGCATAGTGATCAAGGTTAAATTAGAAGACAAATAAAGAATAGTTGTTAAAGGCACTCACTTTCCCCCAGGCACGTTGAAAAATATCGCGACAAGTTTCTTTATCAATGCAATGCGAAGCGATATAAGCCTTTAAATTATGTTTTAAGGTAGATTTTACTCGGTGGACAGATTCT